CTGCACACACAGTGAGCGCTCTGCACACACAGTGAGCTCTCTGCACACACAGTGAGCTCTCTGCACACACAGTGAGTGCTCATACCCGCTGAGCCATCTCTGTAACTTCATTTATTGATTTATTTTTTAAACCTTTTTGCAGTTTGGCATAAAACCACATTGTAACTATTAAATTTGTCAAATACTTAACACAGTAGGCATGCAAGCAGGCCCACTGAGTGCTGGCCTGTAGTATGTGCAGTCCCTCTTCTTCCTAGTACACATCTGCACTCACCACGAGCACACTTCCGTATTCGTGAGTTTCTCTGTCCCATGCCTTCTCCCATCTCTTTTCCATCTGCCCCGTGCCTGGCCTGCTGCAGGCCATCTTTGTTCATCTCTCTTGTGACTCCTCATTCATCTGTCATAGAAAACCCTTTGTCCTCCATTTTCCCCTTAGCTCCATCTAGGTGACACTGCCCCTCAAACTCCTCCGTCCCTTCTGAACAAATCTTGGATCCTTAACAGGGCCACACATCAAGCCTGACACAACATACCACAGTTTAGAGTGGGTCACAGAAAAAGATCGGAGAAGTGAGAAGAAAGATCACCACGATAACTCAGTACTCTTCCTAAGTGTTCTGATGCTGAGTTTTTAACAAGTCACCAAGACCTCTGGAAGACAGAAAACTTTACCCTCTATCAAGTCAATGGAAAAGAAAAGAGAGAGAGGCCGGGCGGTGGTGGCGCACGCCTTTAATCCCAGCACTTGGGAGGCAGAGGCAGGCGGATTTCTGAGTTTGAGGCCAGCCTGGTCTACAGAGTGAGTTCCAGGACAGTCAGGGCTACACAGAGAAACCCTGTCTCAAAAAACAAAAAACAAAAAACAAAACCAAAAAAAAAAAAGAGAGAAAAAGTGAGAGAGAAAATTCTACTTCCAGTTAAACTTAGAGCAAATGGCCCCCCTGAAACTGATAACTCAAAGGCCAAATATCAGATGGCATGTAGGTTTCTGGATACATTATGAGATATCTTCTTATGCCAACCGGAAGCACATGAAGCCCCTTTCTCTGTAGCTTCTGTTCTAGGTCTTATGATGGGAGGAACTCCCTGAGTAGACGCTGCGGTACTTACCCGGGGGCATCACACAGTGCTCTGGGAACATCTTCAGGGCGCTCTTCAGCCTCTCCGTGTCCTGCAGAAGCAGCAGGGTTTTCATGTGGTCCAGGATGAGCACGTCTGTGGGAGGCATGCATCCAGACTCAAGGAGGTGGAGCAGCTCTTCGGCAGCTTCTGTGCACACTGCCGGATCGTCTCTGGAAGTATCTGAAAGAAGTCACAGAGTCTTAGTTTCAAGACAAACTCCCGCTCCCTCAGGAGTCCCCAAGTACACATTCCTCGGGATGAGACGTGCAGTACATAACAAGCTTCCAGGAGAGAACGGGAATAGAACTCTGGGAAGAAACAGGACACCGAAATGCTACCATACCAGCGACTCTGGAGAGGCGGCTTGTGAACGTGTCTCATACTGGCTGGGTTTGTGTGTCAACTTGACACAAGCTGGAGCTATCACAGAGAAAGGAGCCTCCCTTGAGGAAATGCCTCCATGAGATCCAGCTGTAAGGCATTTTCTCAATTAGTGATCAAGGGTGGGAGGACTCATTGTGGGTGGTGCCATCCCTGGGCTGGTAGTCCTGGGTTCTATAAGAAAGCAAGCTGAGCAAGGCAGGGGAAGCAAGCCAGTAAGTAACATCCCTCCATGGCCTCTGCATCAGCTCCTGCCTCCAGGTTCCTGCCCTGCTTGAGTTCCAGTCCTGACTTCCTTTGGTGATGAACAGCAATGTGGAAGTGTAAGCTGAATAAACCCTTTCCTCCCCAACTTGTTTCTTGGTCATGATGTTTGTGCAGGAATGAAAACCCTGACTAAGATACTCGCCTTTTAAACACCTTCCTAGCATAATACTATTCTCTGAGTCACTGACAACAGCAGGAAAAACAGACATGGGAACCAAGCCCAAGTCACGCCACGGGTCTTTGAGAACATCAACAGAGTAAGTTCTGGCTGCAAATCAAGAAAACTCTCCTCAGAGGCCAGCCTTGTCTGCTGTCCTCAAGGACTGCTGGTCTAGGTGGCTGTTTTGGATAGAGAATATACTGTTTCCTCTTTGGCTCCTTCTGAGATTTTTAAACTTTCATCAATGTACTTAGTGTTTTTTAGCTCGCACACGGAGTAATAGATTTCATGGGGACATTTTGCTTTCACATGTACACATGGCTCTTGCCCCGCCCGCAGCCATCTCCACCTTTCTGGTCCCTAACGAGTCACTCCTGCTTCTGTGTCACATGTTTCCATGCCATCTGTTGCTCCTCCCCCTCCCCCACATGTTTTGGGTCATTTCCTCCCACCTTATGATCTCCCTTCTACTTCCAGGTCCTAGACACACACACATTGGTAAACTAAGGTTTGTATTTTTATATGAGAGAAACCATCGCAATGTCTGTGTATCCGAGTCTGGCTCGTCTGACCTAACATCATGAAGATCTTGGTTCCCCCTTCCCTGTAATGCTTGGCTTCAAACTTTCTGCAGCTGGATGCAATCCCACTGTGGTGTGCACCGTGCTTCTGGTTTCTGTTTTGTTTTTGTCTTTCCCAGCGTTTTCTTTGCTGCCAGCATTCCGTGTTTGACATGTGCTCCTGTGTGACGCTGTCTCTAGAGTCCCTGTGTTGGCTTGAGTAGGAATGGTCCTGTAGGCGTACAGATGTGAATGCTTGGTCACTAGGGAGTGGCACTATTATGAGATGTGGCCTTGTTGGAGGGAGTGTGTCACTGGGTGGGGGGGTGGGCTTTAGGGGTTCAAATGCTCAAGCCATGCCCAGTGTGGCATTCACTTCCTGCTGCCTGCTTATCCAATGTAAAACTGTCAGTTCTTTCTCCTGCACCATGCGTAATTGCATGCTGCCATGCTTCCCCCCATGATGATAATGGACTGAACTCTGAACCTGTAAGCCAGCCCCAATGAAATGTCCTCATAAGAGCTGCCATGGTCATGGGTCTCTCCTCAGCAACAGAAACCCTGACTAAGACAGTCCTGCTGGAGTATGTTATGTCCGTTCTTGCTTCGGAAAGGTGAGCTATCGTCTCTTGAAACTGCCCCTGCTCCATGTGCCTCCTTCCTGCACGCCAGCCATCCGAGTGCTAGACTGCAGCTGTGTCAGGGAGCGTGCCACGTCATGGTCATTTCTTTACGTCAGCATGTAAACTACTTCTCACATCATATGCTTCTCAGTTGTACTCTTAGGAACATTTCATATCTGGCTGAAATTTGTATCTATGAACTCACTGCCTTTTCCAAGATGGACCCCGCCCCCTAGTGACGTCATCCAAATGGGAGCGCACAATGACATCCTGTTCACTATGAGGTTAAGGCGAATCCTGACTGGCACTTGTTCTTTCTGGTCCTTAAGTCAGTTGCTGATAAAACATTATGAAAACGCACAACTGTCAACCATGGGAGTCAGTCTTTACTTTCGCAGATCCCATATTAATATATATATTTAATTAAAAAACGCTTACTGGAAACTCGCGCCGGTAAGCTGTATAAGGAAGAGAAGAGTGAGCGCATCTCCAGGAGAGAGCTGAGCGGCTCTTCCTTCTCTAGTCGCTTATGAACATGACGCTCAACGCTGCTGGCTGGAGGGACCCTCGTGTAGAAACACAGCCTCGACACCAACGCATCCCAATCTACACGGGGGAACCACAGCTTCACGGTGGGAGCCCCAACTACAGTGCACTGGCTGTTGTCTCCCACAAGGTGTGCAGGAGAAAAGACATGTAGGATCCACAGGCTCATATAGCTACATGTTAGAAAAAAATTGTAATCGCTTCGGTTTTGATTTGAAACTTAACTATTTGCTTTGAACACTGTGCCGGTTAATCCCAGTTGTCACCTAGAATCACCTGGGATGTGGGTCTCTGGGCAAGCCCATGGTGGATTATACCGGTTAGGGCTCATTAAAATGAAAAGACCCACCCACTGTGGGTGGGCAGCACTTCCGCAGGTTGGGATTCTGAACTGTATAAAAAGGGAGAAAGAGAGACTCGGACAAACATTCATGGCTCTCTTCTTCCTGACGATAGAAGCCATAGGACCAGCCGGGTAAAGCTCCTGCCGCCCTACTCGCCCCAGGAGAATGAGCTTTCTTCATCATGTGTAAAACAGCAGATACAAAAGCCAGCCAGTCCTTTCTCCCGTAAGTTCCCTTGGTCAGGTATTTTATCAGAGCAAGGAGAAAAACAGGTCAGACCAAGGCTGCGATGTATTTTGTACTGTAACAGTTTAAGTAGTTAACTACCCTTGGCTATTTTCCAAATACTAAGTGGATGCCATTATTCAGAGGAAAATGGGGGTAGGGACACCTACCATCATAGAAATAAATTTCTTGTGTCGACTTCAGGAAACTCAGGATGCCCTCCACCCTGCTGTGGGCGAGTTCGGTGTCTTCCTGGGTGGTGTCTGTGACCGAGCGCTCGGGATCATCTTCCTCCTCTCCTCCCACATCATCATCCACCTCTGCCTCCTCGCTGCTCTCGGGCTGGTAGGTGAAGCTGACCCCAGAGGCCTTGGAGGCTAAGCCGGCTTCTCGCCTCCTCCTAAGCCGCAGCTTCGCCTTCAGCTTCCTTCTTTTATTTTTGCTCATGGTGGGGGCGTCTGCTTTCTCTTGCTGTGTCTCTAGGTTGGTTTGTCTCACGATGACATCATCGGGTTTTTTAATATTCCTTTTTGATTTGTGTCTTCTAATTCTTCGTCTTTTTGGTTGGTCAGGAGGATCCAGATCTGTTAAAAAAAATTTCAAATACAGTGATTTTTAGGATGACAGGGTCATAACAACCACATTTAACTTAAATACATTTTCCATCAGGATTTTTATAGCTTTAGTAAAAAGGAATTTAAACAATTTACTTTAGTGATTCTTAACTTTACCTGAGCCGACCGCATCACCTAAACCTCAGTATTAACCACAATTCAATTGGACACTCTATTTCCCTTGCCCTACAAAAATATACGCACAGCTGTTACAACTGTGACAGCTAGTGTATTTTTTTTTTTAGGGATATAACTGTTGTTTTATTAGTGCAAAATTTAATCTCCACGGCCCTGGAATAAAAACATATGAACTATTCTTACATTTTTCTTGAGATGGGGTTTCCGATAAAGCCCAGAGTAGGCTGGTTTTAAATTTGAGATCTTTTTGTTCCCGTTTCTAGCACGCCTCTAGGTGTCTGCTTTCGGAATGTGAGCGGTATAACACTAAACAGGAACAGACATTTACAGTTGTCTGCAGGAGCTGAGCGACCCACCACAGAGACACACAGAGCTATCTTAGGAGCAGCATAGACACAGCCCTACACAGATTGATAGGGGAAGAAATACTGCACGCACGCAGGGTCAGCTGGGAGAATAGCCAGTGTGTGCATTGCTGCTGACATACGGAAGGTCTGACAGTGCAGAGCTGTCTCTTGAGTGTGCACACGGGGACTGTGGAAGTGTGACAGAGATTCTGCACTCTACCACACATCTACTTCACACTTTGGCAGCTGACTTAGCGCACAGGGCAAGGACACAACACATTCTTCTCATCACGGGTAACTCATGCCCTGCGGGACCTGCGACTGTACTGTAAAGCTTGCTGCTGTACCTCGTGCTTTGGTTTTTCACGGTTCTAATTTTTAGGGAAATTCTTGTTTGAGATTTCTGAGCTGTCTACTCTTAAGAAACCGAGATTAATAAAGTGCTGCTTACTGACCCGACAGGAAACTACCTGGTAGGGCGTTCTTTCTCTGTTTGGACAGCTAAATCCTGGGAGATGCTGGAGCAGTCACAACCTACGTCTCTAGGCAAGCCTGAATGCTTCTCTCGCACCTGACCCAGGCCACCCCTCAACTTTGTGTCCTAGTTGGGTTACACTCTGTGTTGTGGGGATGGTGAGCAACTCCCCTGCTATTTTTGAGTAAGAGTTCACAGTTTTCTCCTGTACTTAGCAACCGTATCTATGAAACCCACTGCTACTTCAAACTTGACATGGGGCCAAAACTACTTCTCATAAAATCATGATATTAGATTATGGTCTAGCTCGCGTAAACTGCTTTCCTTAATCACTGGTAGGTCTTTCAATAGCGTTATCTTTCCATTTCATTTGCCAGCATGAAGCGATATGAGGGGCCTGCTAAGTGTGGCTCACAGAATCCATGTCGATTCTCTGAGTTCTCTGAGTATCTCTGAGTTCTGACAAAGGAATGATCTATTAAATATTCATGTCCCCAAAGTGACGACTGTTTATGGAACTGTTTATCTCAGGCTCACTGCACAGCAGAAAAGACTGTTCCTTCTGGTGTCTTAAAAATATTTAATGTCAGCCGGGCAGTGGTAGCGCATGCCTTTAATCCCAGCACTTGGGAGGCAGAGGCAGGTGGACTTCTGAGTTCGAGGCCAGCCTGGTCTACAGAGTGAGTTCCAGGATAGCCAGGGCTATACAGACAAACCCTGTCTCAAAAAAAAAAAAAAATTAACGTCATTAATATTTTGGAGAAAAGAATCCATCCATATTTTAGGATCTCAAAGGAGGGCCATTTGGGAGCCAGTGTGGCAGGAGCCCTTGGTGTGTGAGGTCTCGATTCCTCACTGAGGATGGTGGGTGGAGGCTGAGCCTTCAGTTCTCTCCAGACCTTTCCCCTGGAAGCCACCTTCAGGACTAATTGCCAACTTTGTCCTCTGTGGTTTATCTCAAGTGGTCATGCCATAATATGAATGGCTATTGTTAAGATTGATTGCAGTATTGACCTTTTATTTTAAAAAGACTATGGTATACTACTTTTAAAAGGCGGCAGTAGCAAAACAGCTCTCAAATGATATATTTATGATATTTTTTCAAATAAAGGTATGTGTGCTATTGAACAGGAAAACTTAAAAAAAAATTCACAGTTAGCTCAGACCTGGGAAGTGTACTCTGGTCACTCAGGGCGACGTGAGGCAGGCTACTCGTGTTCGGCTGTGCCCGTCTGACCTCCATGTTGAGAACACTAAACATATACCACTTTATAATGAGGGAAACGTACCTTAAGCTTAGACGTAGGACAAACATATAGGTGGCTACTAAGTGCTTCTTAAAGGTATTTGTTAACTACGTCAAGAAGACAGAAAATCAGTAATAAGCATTTATATCATGTAGGTAGTGGTCTCGGGATATAAGATTGTGACTGGGGATATAGCTTAGTGCCGAACTATTTGCCTAATAAAAGGAGACTCTGGGCTATCATCAGCACTGAGAGATAAAATGAATAACACACACATACACAAACACACACACACACAAACACACACACACTTGCACACACACACACACACACACACACACACACACGCACACTCACACGCGAGTGCACACACACACAATCCAGCCCAAGCATGGCCTCTGCTAGGCTGAATCGGTGGCTGCCTCATGTGCTCACTTTGCATATCTGATCAACCTTTCTACAACTCCAGGGTGAGGTCTGCTCACTTGCCTTCCCTCAGCGAGAATCCTGTCAGGTTCGTTTGGCAGGAATCCTTATCCCTGATGTTTCCTTAGTGACACGCGCCCGCATCTCCCCCACCCCCCGCCCCCCATCTCTAACTCTAAATCCTCACTTTCCCACGCCATACTTGGGCTCCTGTGGCATGTCCCTGTACCTGTTAAGACGATCTTAAACACAAGTCTGCCAAACGCAAGCATCGCCAATAATTTTTTTCTTTAATACTATGACATAACTCAGTCGCAACTTTCCCAAAATCTCATCAGAGGAACCTGACCATGGTCATGTTGTCAGATAAACCCGAGATAAGAATTATCACAGAAATAAGATGCTGAAGAATTAATGACACACTTCAATTTCAACTTAGTGTCTGATGTAATTTTCTGTCCCATACTTTAAATTTCTCATATATGCGTATGTATGTCTGATGTAAATAGTTATGCAAAAAGGTTTTGCTTTCATAATTCTGTATACCCTAAATATTTCACTATAACTTCTGGCAGGGCCACTTTGCTCAGGGGGTCTAAGGAAAGCGAAGTCACAGGTCTGATCCCTGGGGCAGTCATGTTTCTATAGAAGAACTGAAGCAATGAAGAGTCTGCTCTCTGCTCACACGGAGCAGCACAGAGAGGGAGACAGCTCTAAACAACAGGTCACGGGTACCACCGTGGCCACAAGGGAAATCCGTGCTGATGGCCATGGCTGATGTCTGTACGGCATACTGGACTGAAAGTCCCTGCTCCTGGGTTCTAGAGTGCTTGAGTTCACCTGCCTTCCATCTCTCTGCTCATCAGGCATTAATGGGTACAGCATTGCCACTCCTGTAGTCCTCGGCAAATTCTTGGGTCCGGTTGAACTGACACTCTGCTCCACGAACCTCACCCTTATGCCTACAAGCCTTAGGCATTCACCAGAACTCTCCCATGGCCCTCCACGGTACTCCAACAGCCCCAGTGAGCAAACCAAGGACATCACTGATTCTATCACACTGTGCTCAAAGCACTTCCCTCTAGCGTGGCCTCCCATTTGTTCTGGAAATATGGCAACAGTGCCACCCTTTTGCAACAGGGAATTGTCCTGGTGGTTGCCACTGGCTGTAAGTACGTGTGTGTGTGCTTCAAGGGTGGCTCATGTGCCAGGGGGACCAACTAGTAGATCTCACTTTTGCTCATCAAGTGCAAGAGCCATATGTGGCCAGAGGCAGGTATGTGGGGTAGGGTTATGAAGGACGAGCTGTCTCCTGTTACAGAGTAGAGACCCAAAGACCACTCAGCTCCACTGAAGCCTGAATTGAGTCTGTGCTAAGCCTGCTGGTGCCTGCCTGGAGAGAAACACTTCTCACAGAGTGGCCATGAATGCATTTTACTGGGAGCTTTTAAAGGCAAAGAACTCTCTGGTTGGCAGTTGGGGGAGGGGGCAGAATAAAGCAAGCAAGCAGTGTAACAGAAGCTAAAAGCAAGCAGTTAGCTGGAACATTTATTTTTCTTGTATTCTTTCTTTCTTTTTTTTCTTTTATTGAAAATAGGAGCTTTTCATAGCTGGGCATGGTGGTGCATGCCTTTAACCTCAGCACTCAGAAGGCGCTCTCTGCATCTGCTCCCTTCTGCTGCTAGAAGAAGCCTCTCTGATGATGACTGGATAAGGCACTGATCTATGAGTGTAGCAGAATATCTTTAAGAATCATTTCAGGGACGTTCCACCCCCACCCCCATTTGTGTTTGGGTTTACCCTATGTCTCTGGCCCATCTAGTCTCTGGTTCTTGGTTACCCAAGCAGTTTCGGGTATGTGTTCCATCTCATGGAGTGGGCCTTAGGTCAAATTAGACATTGGTTGGCCACTCCCACAAGTTCTTTGTCACCATTGCCCTAGCATATCCTGCAGGCAGGACAGGTTGTAGGTCAAACGTTTGGTGGCTGGGTTGGTGTCTACATTTCCCTTTCAGTAGTCAAAGAGCATCATATCCTGCACCACAGAGACTAGAGCAAAGCGGTGAGGGCGCCACGTGGGCACCAGCTCGACTTCTCCATGCTCGATGAGTTGTGTGCACTTTGTCCTCAGCAATGGGGCTCCACTGTCAGTCCTCTGTCTTGGCATCAGTCTGGGTTGTTTGGGGGATTTTCATGTCCCCCCAACCTCCCGAGGCAACACTCAATTGGACACAATTCAGTCCTGACACTGGAAGCCTCAGCCATTTGAGATTCCTCTCTTGGGAATTCTATTTAGATGTATACACCATTTTAAAACTGGACTGAGTTTTTGATGTC